GAGCTGACTAAGTTTAGATTCAGAACATAAATAAATGTTGTTTCTCTTTACCTTAAGCACATTGTTTTGGTTGGGGTCGAGGATGAATTCAAAGGCCTCATTCCACTCTGGATTGATGTTGTTGTCTATATGTCGTGTTTTCTTTCTGCTCTCTGGGGAAGTGGGGATGAACAACTCCACATATGGGTCGGGGGTATCCACTACAAGCATGTTTAGTTAGTTTGTTAGAAGCACTCATGATTTATTCTGTAAAATACCCAAATCAAGCCTTATTCCTTTGAGTTTAGTAGCTTAAAACTGATGAAGGCAATGCATTATGTTGTGTGAAGTACAATGCCTGTTCTGTAAGTACCTAAACTTCATATTTAAAAAGTATAGAAAATAAGTACTCACACAGGTCTCCAAGAGGTCCCTTGGTGACATTTTCAGCTCGCAACACTTTCACTATGAGTTTGTGTGAGATTTGCTGTTCAACCTAAAAAAATACACAGAACACTCAGCTCACCTCCATTACTTCTGCTAGTGCTTCCCCTACTACTAAAACTACTACTATATTTTTTATAATCTTTATAACTAATAATCTTTTTACCTTTTAAAATTTGAATACATCTCTATCTTTACATCTAAGTCTAAAACAAGGGGGGAAAAGGAAGTGCCAATAAAAGTGGCAAAGCCCATAAGAGCACTTTTGGGGGTTGGTGCAAAATAACTTTTTCACACCAATACACTGTCACTTTGAGGTGGTTAGCCAGAAGCATAAAAATATCTCTCTTAAACTTGATATTTAAAAGAATTTATGTAGAGCCTTTCCGTTTCTGTTTACATAATGTGTCCATATAATTTTGCTCTTTACTTGTAAGCCAGCATTGGCCAATATAGCGCAAAACACCTGTCCAAAAAAGGCTATGAGTGATATATCATGACATCCACACCGATGCACATCAGCATTCTTGGTGTAAACTTAACAAAAGAAACAAGAAGTTCTTGGAAAACCAAAATAGTGGTTTTCCTAAACCATCAGTGCTGACAAACTGCCTTATGTTTTGGCTTGCCACCTTGAAAGCCACACCCCACTGTTTTAGGCTTTTACTGCTATTTTTATGCATAAATCTGAGATTGTTTTTCCTACTTACAAAGATGTGATGATCTTTGAGAGACATGGTGCCTTCACCACTAAATTAGACAAAACTGGCCGGTTATCCAGAATTCCTCAAAGAACTCTGTTCCCAGAGAAGTGAGATGCCACTGGACATCTAAATCCACTGAAAAAAATAATATAAATAAATAAAAATAAAATTTAAAAAAGCAATTTTTTAATGACACGGTATATTTTATTGTGAAAAAACTCTATTATATATATCTTGTTTTTTAAAATCAATTTATTTTTTTTAGATTAGTTAAAGATTAGTTAGCCTACCATTTTTTGTTTCTTTTTTTAGAGAATTATTTTACATCAAATGAACAATGAACATTTAATTTTTCATGATGTGAATAGGGACAAAACTAAAATGAAATTACATGGAAAGAGAGGTTTGGGGTTATACACACACAAAGAGCATAAAACACACAAAGACTAAAGATCACTCACACAAAGAACATACATGACATTTGTTATTCTAATACAACTAACACTATGCCTACTAAAGACATGGTTAGGGTGGTAAAGAACCATTACAAATTCTAAATAGCAACAAAAATGTTTAAATTTAACCTTCCTTACCTTGCACTAAGAACCAAATGAGCAGGGCGTTGGTGCAAGTGTGTGTGCATGTTGTGTATGTGAAAGAGTAAGGAAGGAGTAGTGATAGGCTTTACAGATGGACTGAAACTAAGTCAAAGTAAGCATATTAAAAACGGGAAGTGTGCAGTGAGTCAACACAGATAGTGGCTGTGGCAGGATGAAACTGTTAAAGTCTGAGCTGCATTCTGACACTCACTGAGCACAAATAGCTACGCTGGTTAACTGCAATGATTACGACAACAGTTATATAAAAATCGCTATCAGCATATGTGCTTAGAATTCAGCATTATAGTTGCATGTATTAGCCAATAGAGTGAATATTGTGCAGTCCAGCGGATGCTAAAATTGCGTAACGGAGAATGTCAGGTTCTCTGTTTAGCTAAACCAGCCCATCCATAAAAACTGCTGCACAAAAACACAAATAGGCTACACATCAGCCGTTGACCCGACTGGACCTTGGGTGATACACGACTAGGGTTGCCAACCGTTCCGTATAATACGGAATCGTCCCGTATATAAGGGATCAAAGAAGCGTTCCGTATGAAAGCTATTCGGAACGCAGTTTGTCCCGTATTTAAGGCATATGCCTTATGAACACCTAGACCATACGAATAACAAACTCTAAATTGAGAATTAATCATTCTTTTTTGACAAGTGTTTGATTTGTGAACATAGCCGTTCCAGGGAGGCTTTAAGACCAAGCGGAATCCTCTGCCGGCTGGGTCGCTCCCGCTTCACAGCGAGCGGGACTGGCGCTAACGGAGTTGGGTTTTTTAACGACCGCGTTTCGACTTCAGCAAATCAGTTTGAGCGAATGCAAACAACGTGATTCCAACATCCAGTTACGCGAGAAAACGTGCGTTTTACCTGAGGGAAGACGTGATCAATAAGGAAAGTCCTATTTACATTTAAGTAACTTTCAGCGTATTCTTAACCTTGAATATCATTCTTAAAACACAAAATGACCAATGAAGTGTCAAGCACCCAAAGCAGTACATATTTATTCTATAAGTTCTCTTTAATTGAAAAATATGCATTTTCATACTGTAGTAGGCCTACTGTATATTACACACACGCATCAGAAGTCAGAAAGAGCTTTATTGCCAAGTATGTTTGCACATACAAGGAATATGTTTTAGTGTCACAAGGTTCAGTACACAGACACAACAACACACAGATAATAAAAATAAGATGTGAATAAAATACACATATGTATAAATATAAATATAAATAAAACACATACACACCCACACACACACAAAGGATAAATATGTACAGGTGTGCTATAGATAAAACACTATGGTCACGTAGACATGACAAAAACACATTAAGACAAATCAAATCAATCAGCTCGAAACACTCATTAACATGCAATATATTATATTACGTACTGATCTGTTTTATTGAAGTATGATGCTATTAATACAAGGTTTTATGAAATGAAACTCTGCCACCAAATCCGTAATTTATTAAAATTGTTAAAACAACAACGCGCTACACTCGGGCGAGTGACAGATCGATCATCTGTCAACAGTGCCGTTATATGGCCTATCTATCACAAAACTCCTGCAGGCTGCAGCTGTCCTGTAGTTTAACTTCAAAGTCCTAAAATGAACGGAGGTCTGCTTTTGACATTTAAACAGCATATTCTGAAAATAATGGAAACTTTTTAAAACATGTGGTAGCCCTTTAACTGTCAGTAGGTTACACTCTGGTTACACTACAGAGCTGATGTTTTCCCCCGAGCTTCGCACCGCTATTTTCACGTGACGTGATGTTATATGAACGACAGCTTACCTGCAGTAAACAACTAACAGACTGAGTAATTAATCTTTCATCTTACCCTGGGCTGGGGTGGGGTGCACACCAAGCCAGAAATCTAGAAAAAAAATCAGTCGTCTTCTATGCAGAGAGTGCGCTTCTCAGACTATCATTTAAAAAAAAAAAAAAAAGAGGAGGAGGAGGTACTAGCTTCCTATGATGATAAAATCTCGTCGTCCAGCAGTATCATCCCTTATCCTGCTTTGTGTGCATTGCTTTTCATATTGCTGACAGATTATACTTTACTTGACTGTAGAGTAGGCCTAAATTTGTTATATGGGTTATAAAAAGCACTATTATAAACCACTATAAAGTATTATTATACAGATTGAAAAAGTTACAAAGGCAAATGTCTTTTTTCTATATGTTTCAAATGTTTTTCTTTATGATTAACAATCATAAAGAAAGAGTTACGTTTTCCCGAGGTAACAGTCAGCAGAGATGAAGAGGAAAACAGGTTTGTCTTGATAGCGGACCTAATGGGCTGTTGAGGCATTCATTTCTGCCACAAGATGGCAGTTCCTTATGCGATATGAACTTGAACAGGTGATCGCAAAAAACGAGGATGATTAAGATGACAAAAAAAAAAAAATCTTTAAAAATCTTCGAAACACATATGTTACGTTTATATAAATGTAATTGTGTATTCATGTTGGTTTCAAATATTTTTATGTAATGCATTAGCGATGATTAGCTATTTAATATGGATTGAATGTTTAAAATAGTATTACTTACTTATCATTAAACAGTATTGCTTTTGTGTTTTAAGAAATAATAAAAAAGTGTATTCCAATCGACTTGTGGTAACATTTTAACCTTTGTCCTTTTTTTTCTTTAAATTTAATTGAATGAGATTTTCCCCCTTTTTAACAATCTCCGGATTACACAATCACATAGGCGCCCCACACAAAAAAAAAATAGAAAGAAAAGATCTAAATATAGCCTATTTTAATTCAGAATTTGACTCGAATTAAAAAAGTAATTTAAATCAAATTTATTTACAATGTATATTTTCTGTTTGATCCGGAGAAAAAATCCTTAGGCTAAACCCATCAATAATGTGATCACTTAGCAGAGGGTATGTATCAAATTATTATTATTATTATTACAGTTTATTAGAAACAGTTTTCTTTTGCTTCCTATTGGTAAGTGACAAAAATAATAAATTGACAAAACATAAATAAACTAGGCCTACGAGTCTATCTTATCTCCCGACAGCCTTCGGGATATTAGGCTAGTTTATGACATCCGATAATCAGTACGCTATACCAACAAACGATTATATCATTGTCTATCCTCTTGCACTGCTTTAGACTCTCGAATGATGAGTCATGTCGGAATTCTTTTTTTTTTTTATGTTGGAATTCTTTTCAAGCATGAGAGTGAGCATGTTGCGTCACTCCGCTGCTCTTATAACTGCGCCTCTCTCACTCGAAAGTTAATTCATTCGCTGATCTGAACTGGCGAGGAACGACCCAATACATCTACTATACGCCACTGGAATGAATAGTTTGGTATTATTTATTCTTTTGCACCTGGGGTTCATGGTTTGCCAAGGAGGTAAGTCATTTCTTCATTTATACGTTTTCGTATTCACATCTATTTTGATTCTATAGTAGCCTATTATCAAAATGATGTAAGTTAAGCTGTCTAAAAAAATCTATATTTTTGGTGATGCAGCCAACCCCTGTTGCTCTCAGCCATGTCAGAATCGAGGTGTCTGTACGGCATTGGGCTCAGACTCTTATGAATGTGACTGTACACGCACTGGATATTACGGTCAAAACTGCACTACACGTAAGTGTAAACTGCATAGACTTCTGGAAAAGAATTAGCTTCCTGTTCTCTGTTAATACCTGACTAACCTATTACTTTGGTGTCGTTTTTACAGCTGAATTTCTCACATGGGTGAAAGTTTCTATGAAGCCTTCTCCCAACACGGTGCATTATATTCTCTCACACTTCAAAAGCTTGTGGAATATTGTCAACAACGTGTCGTTTTTGAGAAACGGCATAATGAGATACGTGCTAACATGTAAGTTGTTATTGGCCTTGCTTTTCTTTCCTGAAATATCATTTAGTAACTCGTACACTTTTAAATAATTTTATTTAAAAATGTAACTTTAAAAGTTTCTTTACAGCAATAATGTAAATTATAAATGCAACTCAAAATTAAAACTGACTTAAAAAAATTTATTTTCCTCCTAAACCAGCTCGTGCCCATCTGATTGATAGCCCTCCTATATTCAATGCTGACTATGGTTACAAAAGCTGGGAAGCCTACTCAAATCTCTCCTACTACACTCGCACGCTGCCTCCTGTCCCGCACGATTGCCCAACACCAATGGGAGTCGCAGGTGAGCCTCTTTGTCCTCAGACCTGTTTTCTCACATTTCTTACCATTCACATTTCTGGCATTACAGCTAGACAGGAAGCTTGCGGACGCAACCTGCCTGCCTGCATGCCTTGGGTGTGTGGATGAGAAAAGCTTAAATAAATATAAGATGTTCTTACAGCATTATTGCTGAGAGATTCATCTCCATTAAGTAAAGTCACTGAGGCTAGAGGCTAAAATAACTTAAAACTGCACAGAATGCTTGAACTCCTGGTTTATTGTAACAGTTTTGGGTTGGTGTTTAACACTCATAATTGGAGATGTAAATATACGGTGGATGTCTTTTTTTCTCATTAATTCTTCTTTTGTTTTACCAGGAAAGAAAGAGTTGCCAGACGTGAAGCTTCTGGCTGAGAAGCTGCTTCTCAGGAGGAAGTTCATCCCAGACCCTCAACGCACCAGTCTTATGTTCGCTTTCTTTGCCCAACATTTTACACACCAGTTCTTCAAAACCGACATGAAGAAAGGCCCAGCCTTCACAAGAGCCCTGAATCACGGGGTGTGTATCTCATAGATAGGACATTTTTAAGTGACATCAACTTATTAACGGTCCTTTCGCATTCACTGTAGCATCTGACTGACTTTGCCTGATGTTTTTAGGTTGACTTGGGACACATATACGGACAGGACCTTGAACGCCAACACAAGCTGAGACTTTTCAAGGATGGCAAGCTGAGATATCAGGTAAGGAATGTCTCCACCCCAAAATTAACTAAAATAACCTCCAGTTCACTGAACTCCAAGTTACCTCATCCTCCCTTCCCATTAGGCAACTTTGCTATTTTTACTGCCTTGTTACTTACTCATTTTTTACTTGATCTTTCTCTTTTATATTGCAAGCATACTTGTCTGAAAATTCATGTTCATTGCCTTAACCAGGTTCTGGATGGTGAGGTTTATCCTCCGACAGTCAGTGAGGTTCAAGTAGACATGCACTACCCTCCTCATGTACCTGAGTCCCGTCGCTTTGCCGTTGGTCACGAAGCCTTTGGACTGGTTCCCGGACTCATGATGTATGCCACCATCTGGCTGCGTGAACACAACCGAGTGTGTGATATACTAAAGCAGGAGCATCCTGACTGGGATGACGAGAGGCTGTTTCAGACCGCACGGCTCATCCTTATTGGTGAGTGTGCCGTAGCAAAAGGAAATTTAGATTAGTTACAAGTGGACAAGTATATATAGTAAATTGGATTGCAGAATGGGTTCATGGATGTGTTAATAGTTGTACCTCAAAATACAATTACAAGAACTCTCATGGTTCTAACCGTTGTATATTCTGACTCTATAGGCGAGACGATCAAAATTGTCATTGAAGATTATGTGCAACATCTCAGTGGATACCACTTTAAGCTCAAGTTTGATCCTGAACTTCTCTTCAACGAGCGTTTCCAGTACCAGAACAGGATCTCTTCTGAGTTCAACACTCTTTACCACTGGCACCCCCTTATGCCTGATGAATTTCACATCCAGGATGAAGTCTACAATTATAAGCAGTTTCTCTTCAACACATCTATACTGACAGACTATGGCGTCAACAGCTTGGTTGAGTCCTTCACCAAACAGATTGCTGGAAGGGTAAGCGTTCATGTATTCTAAGACAAGAAAAAGAAGTTCAGTTTGACTTGTTTTGCATTAGCCTGTTGTAGATACTGTTGCAAGGCACCGCCCTTGGTGAGGGTTTGGTGAATTATAAATCTTGTCTTTTACTTCAGGTGGCTGGAGGGCGTAATGTTGCACCAGCTGTGTTAAAGGTGGCCATAAAGTCAATTGAAGACAGCAGGCAAATTCGCTACCAATCTATCAATGCCTACAGGAAACGCTTCAACATGAAGCCATACAAATCCTTTGAAGAAATGACAGGTGAGGGTTAATATATTTCCATTTATCAGGTCTGAACATGGATGTTTTCTACTATATCACATGTAAACTTTACCTAAGTCCACCAGTATTTTAAAAGCATACCCTGCAGATACTGTAAAATCAGTGGTAATTCAGACAACAATTTGAGTTGACTGAACTTGTTTTATGTTTTAGGAGAAAAGGAGATGGCTGCTGAACTTGAAGAGATGTACGGGGATGTGGATGCTGTGGAGCTTTATGCTGGGCTGCTGGTTGAGAAGCCCAGGACCAACGCCATCTTTGGGGAGACCATGGTGGAAATGGGTGCCCCCTACTCCCTCAAAGGACTTATGGGAAATCCCATCTGTTCCCCCGAGTACTGGAAACCAAGCACCTTTGGTGGCAAAGTGGGCTTTGAGATTGTCAATACTGCCTCTCTGCAGAAATTGGTTTGCAATAATGTCAAAGGGCCCTGCCCTATGGCGTCCTTCTACGTGCCTAATGTAAAAGATTCAGTACCAACCACCATTAATGCAAGTACTTCCCACTCGGATCAAAACGTCAACCCAACAGTTTTACTGAAAGAAAGGACATCTGAACTCTGATAGATGTATTCTGTAAGAAAGTTATTTATTATTTATTTATTTATAGGTTATTTATTTTATTTATTGCACTGAGAAAATTAGCTTTTAATTCATATTTTTTTATTTTTGAATAGTTTTTGTACAAATCTGATGCTTTATCTTTAACTATTTATTAAATATGTACATTGTATGTATTGTAAAAAATGTTTACATTAGACCTCAGATTTTAGCACTGCTATAATGCTGAATAGTTTGTGTCATGATTTTACTTGAATCACGTTTCTAGTCGTTTACAATTACTTTGTTTCTCTCCATCTTTATAATGAAACATCTCAAGATCTCAGAATACTAAACAAAAGTTTTCTTTCTAACGAAATATCTCACACACTGTTTTGTCTTTGTGAACACTTGTTTTATCTAAAAAAGTAATGATATTTTCTTATTTTTATACTTGAAATATGACCTTTTAAAATAATAAATCACAATAAGTCTAATACTTTTACCTTGTTTGTGTGCATTCTTAATGCCCCTTTAAAAAAAAAAAAGATTTGTAATAACTTTGCATCAAGATACATTATCCTATTTTATTTGGTTTAAATTGTGAGTGCAAAACATAAAAATGAAAATATCCACACAAATTCCGAGGCAATAAATATAATCTTCATGATGACAGATGATGTTACTGTTAGTTTAGAGAGAATGTTTTATTGCTTGAAGTGATATCTTCACACAGAAATGTGTTAGAACCAACATGTCAAAACAAAATTTAGAGAGGGTGCTGACTTAACATACAGTGAAAAATGCAAATATCTTGAGTGTATTACAACATAGTCCAAATTCAAAGTGAACTAAAGTGATTTGCAGGTCATTATTACAGGCAGGTCAGATGCAATTATTTACAATGAATTGATACTTCAATAATTTCTCAATTGATTTCAGTTGAGCAAATAATGATTTCAGCACTGGCTGTTGTCAGACTCCTTGTGCATACAAAAATCTCACTGGATTATTACAATTAATGGCACAAAGACTGTTTTTTGTAAATCAGTTGAAAAACCTCACTACAGCAAAAGATAAACAGATCGATAGATGAATTTTACAAGAGTAGGCCTACTTAATAAGGCCCATTATTTTCTAAAATATGTCCATAAAACAGATAATACAACCAGGTAATGCAAATTCACTTAATTTAACAAACAGTTAGCAAATGGTAAAGGATCAAAAAAATAATAGTAAAATAAAAAATAAAAATGTGGGAAACCTGTAGACTAATATGATCATTTCCGCAGATTTTCAGCAACACTACGGGGTCATGGTTTGGTTTAATTTATGATATTCACGATCTATTTATGATGAAGATAAACATAGGAACATTTTAGGAGATAACCAATACTTTACAGAGTTCCATGCTTTAGTAAGTGCCCCCCTCCAGCCCTTTTCACATTGTTTTGTACAGCTGTAGATGTCAGGTCTCATAAAACTGAACCACTGACCACATCAAAGTAAAGAGATGCATCGCAAAGATCAGGGCCATGAGTAAAGCTTTTGACGAGAAGCGTCCGATTAGGCCCTGTAATTGTGCAAGTGATTAGGACTTTGCATTTGTGCTTCTGGTCATCAATGACCCTGCAGGGGCTCTGATTTTCCAAAGCTTTACTGTATGAGCTCCAACTAGCTCACTTCTGTGGGTGGACTAAAAGATAGTCTTCCTTTCTCTGTGATAAATTGGCATGAAATTGGCACCGCGAGCCAGAAGGGGAGATAGCGCATGTTTCCATTGCCTCAGCACACACTGTCTCCTCAGTGACTGATAGTGTACGCAGGCTTTTTTTTTGTCCAGCACGGGGACGTGCCGCCGGGAAAGCCTGTGTGGCTGTGAGCCTCAAGAGGAGATATGTGCCATCTGACAAGTGATGAAAATAAGGGGCAGTTGGACTCGATCCCTGGTCACTTTCCAGTGTGAGAACTTGGCAGAGAGAAATAGATTCAAAGGAAAAAGCACTGTTCAACAGTCATTTTAACATTGAATACAATAACACTGAAAAATTGTTTGTGCAGAGACCATTTCCACTCAAAAATTGCTAGTAAATTTCACCTATATATATATATAGAGAGAGAGAGAGAGAGATATTTATACTGTATATAAATATATTGTTTTATATAGAAATATACATTTTGTCTTAAATATATCTATATGCGCGTGTGTGTATTTGTGACACAGTACACATACTTTTATTTGGATGCGATTAATCACGATTAATTGTTCCAAGGCCCTAAATGTGTGTGTGTGTGTGTGTGTGTGTGTGTGTGTGTGTTAAATATTGCAGTTTGGATGCTATTATTGTGATTATACTAACTAGCTGGGTTTACAAAAGTAAAACTGACACTATATTTTTACTTCAAAACAAATTCGAAACAAAATTTACTTCGAAACTAATTTTGCATCATTCAACTGTAATCGTCTGTAGGCTATATGTGGTGATCATCATGATATTTGATACGCTCTGCTCTGCCTGCTCCGCGCCAGTCGATACGCACCGTTGAAGTGACGCTTGCGGGTGAGCGTGGGAAAGAAACAGTCTGTCGCCTTGTCAGAAGTCAGTACCATCAGAATAATTTTGAAACTGTAATTTCAACGTTAAAAGCTTACATACAGTTGCTTTAAAATATGACAGAAATGAATCTCGTTATTATAATTTTAGTAGGCTATGCACCCACCGTAGCAAAAAGGAATGTAAAAGTAGACACACATATTTGGGGAAAACTATAAATCTGTCACCACTTGCCATTATGTGTTTCATGGCAGCATTTGACACATATGAGGTAATGCTTACAAAAAAATGCTTTCAGTTGGGTCCTGGTGCAAGATGACAGAGTGGTAACTCATCAGTACTGAAACTACACTGTGCCACACTGTCTGCGGCCCTCCATTTAATGTTGTAAACATTCTCAGACCATAAAAGGAGAGACAAATGTAGAACATCTTTAGCTGAATCTACCACTGGCCTCATGTACCTCATCAGGTCAGATGACACTGCTTGTCTTTTGCTGTTTTGAATTTGTAATATCTCTGTTTACAAATGGAAAGGACAGTGAAGAATAGGAACTTCCCTGTATGCCTATGTTTATAGGAGAATGTTCCGATATCTGCACATGGCTATCTCCCAAATTGTAAATGATGTTGCTTTCTTTGAAGGAAGAAGGAAAAAAAATCAAATTATTCATGCAACCTGAGCCACACAAGCCCATCTGTGCCTTACAGATGAATTCAGTCTAATTTTACAGAAAGATGAATAATGCACATTTCATGTCCAGATGAAGCTTGTTTCCCCCATGGGAAAAAAAATTAAAAAGCAAAAGTTTTTATCTCACAGTTCTTTTTTTCCCCCTTGCAATTCTGAGTTAATATCCCGCAAATTCTGACTTTTTTTCTTGCAACTCTGAGTTTAAAACTCACAATTACTGGATGCAATCTTAGAATTACAAGAAAACAATCAGAATTGTCACTTTATAAGCTTCTGGAAACAAGCTTCCTTAGTTTTATGAGCACAAGTATTTTGCTCAATTAATTTCCAGTTTTCTTTAAACTTAGTACAACTAAAAAAAGAAATCAAAGTTGTGTACAGCAGGAAGTTGGCATTCAGTAAGTGTCCTACAAAGCAACAGACTTAATCTTAGAAACATACAGACATGTAATTCTGTATTTTTTACATGAAAAAAAAGCCAGAAACTGAAGACAGAATTCTATATTTTTTATATGAAAAAAAAACAGAAGTTCACCCTGAACTTCCTCAAAATGTATTATCTCTCACAAACAAAATTCCAGACCTTGTTGTCTGTGTGGTCCTTTCAACAGAAGATAATAAATATAAAAACACATTAAACCAGAGTCTTTTCCAAAAATATGCTTGACCTAACAATGTAAAGTTTAATTTACTCATTGACATTTCAGCCATATATAAGTGGTGTTCTACAAAGAACACACATTAAACAATAAATAAATTAAATACATTGAACATATACACAACACATTTATTTTTTATTGAGATAAAATGGTCAAATTCAGTCCTTTAATCTGAAAATCTTGTCCTCTGCATGTGCATACCTAAATTGTTGCCTGAAGAAATTAGGATTGACATCAATAAAAAACATTGTTTCCTAACTGTGGCAAGTTTCAGTTTGCAAGATTCCAGTCAATAATGAATTACATTTCAGTCAGTTACTCACACAAATCTTTTGTATGCCTTTTTAGAAGGCCTGGCTTATAGTACATGACTCAGACTCAGAATGTTAATCTGAAACAAGCTTCAAATAGCACTGCAACTGAAATCTGTACATGAGTTGTACAGATTTCGATTGCAGTGCTATTTGAAGCTTGTTTCAGTTTAACATTCTGAGTCAGAAACTGCAGGAATGAGGATATTGGAGTCAGACCGGGAAAACCCAGACAAAAAAAACAAAAACATGAATGAGATGAGGGGTTCCTTAGTAAAAAAAAAAGTCTTCCTCGATTCCTAGTTGAACATTGTTTTCCATGCAAGTTGTGATTTCATATGCCATGAGTCATTTGGAGACATTCTGGTCATAAAGTCCATGTAGCTTTTTAGGTATGACATCTGGATGCATCAGCATCGCAACCCCCTCTCCCCAGTTTAACACTAAGTTCATCCACAACTATATAAGGCTACTGATGGACCTCTCCATTCAAAATTTCCTGTTAGAGCAACTGGTCGGTGTCTAATTCTAGACCAGGCAGTCTTTGTATAACATCAGTAGAGGAACCACTTTTGCCATTTGTATCAACATCCACTTTACGTCACATCACACATCACTACTTTCCAGCTCTTGTTGGCGAACTACATCATGCCAGTAAAATTAGAAAGGCCTATAGCACAATCTATTAAGACTCTCAGGTTTAACTTAAAGATGTTAATGTTTGTTATTTTTCAACATCTAGGTACTCTACTGTTATTGTTAATGTAATTCTTTTTAGCCAGGCGCACCAGAAATCTATTAATAGTATGAAAGAGAAATGTCACAATGGCTTGGTTACAAGAAGGCTACAATGTGAAGGTAGAATTGTCTTAC